CAGGTCTGGAGATGAAAAACCGTGACAGACGCACACGCGGGCACACACACACACACACAGACAACCTCTCGTCAATATGCGTTTTTCGCATTGCATTGCTGCAAAAAAAAAGCGTAAAAACCAGTACTAGTGACAAAATATAGGCAAAAAGTCAAACTCCCCTCCCTATTCAGCTTGCTTCAAACACACACACAGACAACCTCTCGTCAATATGCGTTTTTCGCATTGCATCTAAAAAACGCATATTAGTGGAAAAAACAAAAAGCAGTCGCAGCTCAGTTATCCATACTTCCTTGTTTTCATGTGGTTGAGAGTGGATGTACTGAGTTCTGCCAGATGGACGTAAAATTTCAACTGGACCTAAACCGGGAATACCAAAATGCATTCAAAGAGGAGAACAGCTGGCCCGGAGCGAAAAATGCTATAAAATAAAGGGTAGAATCGTGATTTTTATCAATTTCGTAAGATATTTTGTGCGCCTTTTCTACTCATTATCACAGTATTTCACAATTTTCAGCTCACTATGATCAGTTTAAGCATGCCTTTATCGACGCGAAAAAAATGGCTGCGCTATGCTACGGGCTTCAGAAAGAGCATTTCGTAGTTTTGCTTCCTCAACTGCTTCAGAAATGATAACATACCGTAGACGGCGCGGTGCAAATGCAAATTGCCAATAGTGGCAGAAGGAGAAAAATAAGCATGTCGTTTGCTTTCCTGCAGTGTGAATTCGATTAGGGCTGCTTGTCGAACAGAATCATATAGAGCTAGCGAAGATGTAGTTTTCATGAGAAAAACAATATTATTTGGTAATTATGGTACTAATGGAAGGCATAAAGCTCAGGATCGAGGAGAGCCTAACTGCGTTCGGAATGTGGAGACGCTCTATTATGATTGTGGAATGCCAAAACCGACTTCTTGGTATTTCTGTTTCACACAGAAAAAAACGCTGTCTTGAATCAGATATTCAGGAAATCTTTTTTATTCTTGACCGTGATGGGAAATCTCAACATAATTCTTTCGCTCATTTTAATATGAACCGACTGATGTTGCGATTCGTTATATTTTTGCTGTAAGCCACCATTTATATAACTAAAAAATTGCTTGATTTACAATAATTTTATGAGAATAACTTGAAAAAAAGCGTTTAATACAAGAGAATCTAGCATAGCCGTGCGATATGTATCGAAGTTTTGCAGTAAAACGATTGGTTTAGGGAGAATTCTAACGGTAATCTTTGAGCGAATGCAGTACGTCTCAGATTAAAAAAAATTCTCTCCCGATACACATGAAAAAACTACAGCGCTTAGCTGTCTGCATAATCAGGATTACTGTCTACTCATTCTCATGAACAGAGTGGAACAGCATTTCTTGCGGATTTGCCGCCAATACCATTCGTTAAGCCTATCTGACTGTCTTCGCAGCTCTTTGGGATAAAAAAATTAGGTAGAAATCGAGGTGCTTTGTGTTATATAGCTCTATTATGTGCAAAGATCATCATTAGGATCGTCGATTTTGAGGGAAATATTTAGCTTTGTACAATCCCTCGCCGGTAAGACCAACACATGATGCGCGGTGTGCTCAAATCCCGGGCTGGAAAGCGCCCGGTTTGCCGAGCGCCTCCAGAGAGCTCTCCCAGCAAAAATCCATTTTCTGTCGCAAATATACGTGCACGACCACGTCAGAACATATAGTTCTGTTGACGAAAGTACTTGGAAGGGGTAAAGGGAGAGCATGGGGAGGGGAAGGTAGAGGAACAATTAATGTACGCCTAGGCGGATCCAGGAGGTGAGGGGTCTTTCTTCCGGCACAGGCACCAGTGCTACAGAAGTCCGGGTTTAAGGCTAAAACTGATGAAAACTGTCTTCCGCACTCCCTGTCGCCCATCCCCCTGCTTGTCACCACATTAGTAGATCCATTACCCCATCCACGATCACCGCTAGGTCAGAGGCCCCATTCTTTCTCTTCCCCTCTCTGTTGCGTCCCCGCCTACCGCTTCTTCTTCGGGTCCCCTCTTTCCCCTTCCCTCCTTGAAAGCCGCCTTGAATCCACCTATAAACGTACGATACGCGCTATATTCATTTATCAAATTAAACATTGGTAACAATAGCGATTATACGTGGTACGTTTCTTTCAGGTGAAAGAATACGAGCTGTACCGGGAGAATTTCTCTCACGCCGGGAATTTTGGCTCCGAAATCCAAGAACATATTGATCTAGGAATAAAGTATGATCCATCAATTAGTATCTATGCCATGGATTTTTATGCTGTTCTTGAATGTGCGGGACATCGCGTGGCGAAACGTAGACGTGCTCATGACGTGTTGGACATAAACATCGCGTTGGAAAGGAGGAGGCCGTCAAAAAGTTCGTTTTTTTTAAAACACCACCGTAGTGAAAGTCCCCCTAGCATACAGTATTTACCCCGAGGATATACTTATTTCGCGATGATAGAGAGTCGAGATGTAACGAGGAGGAGTGCCTGTGCGGCTGCGAGGAAGCGCACAAACAATTCTCTATTAGTACAAGAGCAAAAAAAAAA